ACAGAGCAGCTTTGGGGGCACCTGGTGTCCACCCAGGGTCAGCCCACCACACTAAGTTACCTAACCTCAAATATTCCATAGTATGGATTCCATGTTCTCCCTGCAGTTTTATACTCCCTCATCCCACCATATGTAAATCCACAATTATTTTTTCCCCCCTCCATAAAAAGGCATATGCCATCAAGTCAATTAATACTCCTCCTCAAGTAATTAATACTTACTTTGGGGATACCTTACCTATTGCTCAGAAAGAAACAGTCACAACAAAAATTTCTATCCCAATAACTAGTTTTTACATCTGCAGCTTAGCACTGGTCCCTACTACTTGTTTGTTTGGTATCCTTACTAAATCCTGTGGTGGTTATTCTTGGTTTTCTCCAAGGGAACTTCAGCCTTTTGGCCTTATTTTGGCCCTTCGTAGTCCCATAACTCTTAGCTAGACCAAGAGACTGTGGCTGACATTAGCCAGTGTGTCAACAAGATTATATTGTTTTGAATAAAGATTGATGCCTGTACGTATCATAGACTTCAAACACAGTTAAACCAAATATATGATGACCATTTACCAGATTTTTAAGTCAAAACATTTGTAATTAGGAAAATGAGGGGTAATAAGACTTTTGGTTATAGCTGGAAAAAAATGAAATCCCTACGTCTGTAGTTCCAGGATTCTCTACATTTCCTGTATTCCCCCTTCTATCCAAGAATGACATTGATACTTACAGTAAGTCAGATTACACAATCTCATTTACTTACAGATTCTAACAGATTTATAAAAAAATACAAGCAAATTAGAAAAATAACAAAGCTAATACACATAAACTTTCACTTTATGGACTTCTTTGTCTTCACATTCTCTTTGCTTATCGTAATAATAGAATGTATTGTCCCTTCTCTGAAGCTTCTTAACAAATCCAGTTTCTGGCCAACACTCTACCTAGGAATAGAATAAAAAGGATATACATTCACCTGAACATGCTCACATTAAATGATGTTTGTGCATTATATTACAAAGAATACAGGGCATACTTCCATGGGAAAACCTCGCTCGTATCTAAACACTACTTTGCTATTAATTTGCTTAACTTTTAAAAAAAAGATTAAGAACAAGAGTAATTTAAAAAGTGGACTAGTCAAAACTTTTAAAGTACCTCATTTAGGAATAAAACATTGATGCTGTTCAGTTATTCAGTAATCTGAGAGGCTGAAAGATTCAGCTTCTGTAACACTGACACACACTTAAAGGTTTCTTCGGGATCCTTCTGACCATGAAAAACGTGCTTTTCATTAGCAATGTCATAAAAATAAAGTGAGCTATATGAAAGACAGCAGTATCAGCCCTGCAGGAAACCAGCACCATCCTGGTGCTGTTCAGTGTTCCACAATATGAAGCTCTAAAGGCTTGAGCACTTGTGTGTTCAACAGCTGTATGGCTTCAGTGACTATTTGCAGCTCAAACATCTACGACTACTTCTGATCAAACTGAACCTTAAAAATCAGGTAATATGAATCTTATTTCTCTTCCAGGCAGGGTTGACAATGGGATGTCAAACTAGAGTGTTCTCTAACTGGAGAGTCTCAGAAGTGGTAGTTTCATCACTTACCTTATTAATTTAGACATACAGCTGAGTTATTTGCATTCTCTGTCTAAACATAACAGCTTTAATGTTATTTTATGGAAACATAATATGGAGTAAACAAGACATTTCAAAATGCTTAAGTTGAAAGAGAACCACTACCAGATCCTGGCAACTTTGAACAGAAGGCACGCTCATTTTACATTGACCAAGTGGTGCTCTTTATCAGGGTTTAATTGTTTATGGTTTTACACTGTCATAAATCTTAGAGACTGACCCTGCCACACTAATTGCAGGATTTCCTTTTTCATGGTTAAAGGAATTCACACTGCAGCCTTTACAGTGGTATCCGAGCCCACAACAAAAGAATAAACTGCATCTTATTATGCACATCAATGTTTTGCTATGTTTTAACTGGATGAGGCATGATTTTCTTAGGATCATTCTGCACAAGAGGTTAAGATCTTTTAAAAGTGGATTTTTTATACTAGATATGCTGCTTTGGAAGATTAATCACTGAGGTGTAATAGAGATAATATGTTGCTTGCTGTATTAAACTCTCGGTTGCTATTTTGAATCTCTGCTAAATATCTGGCCATTATTCATTAGCTCATTTGATATGCTAGGGAGCATCACCATCAACCTTAGTGAGCAGAGCACTAAGTCCTTGATGTTCTCAGTTTGATAAAAGCCTGTGTCACAACTCCCTTTACCACACTTGGCATCAAATATTTCTATTGTGGACAGTTTCAATAGACGCCAAGTTTTGAGTGTGCACGAAGTCTGATTATGCTACCACACAATTCAACTGTAAAACTGAAGTTGGTAGCAATGACACCGGACTGACTCCCTGGACAATGAACAAGTTTCCTGTCAGGTCTATTGGCAGAGTAACGGGGAAACTTCACAGAAAACTCACTTTGATGTATCTCTTTCCTCAAAACTGAGTTATTCTTTTAGATAGCAGCTACATCTATTTAAAGAAATCCATAATGCTTTAAATGCATAAGAGAAGGGGAAAAAAAACACAGGCTGGGTAGTGTTTGTTTCACTTCGGTGAAATAAGTAATTCTGTGCATTTTATAATGGCTCAAGAATTCAAGTCAAACCTGGGAGATTAAAACTGTATCAGAAACTAGCTTAAATGAAAGGAAATAAGCAGCACCTCCATTTTTATTAAATCGTTTAACATGAAATGGAGGTTTAAAGTAATAACCCTTGCAGAGTTCTAAATCTTACCATATCAACTTGTTTTACTTGTTTATATTCAATCTCATCTCTGTATCCAGCTTGCTGAAATCTGTATAAGTTCTCAACATCATCTGACCATTTTTTGGCATGATGGATAGATTTTGGTTTGCCGTCAGCTTTAGCCATGACTGCAGAAACTTCAGATGTTTTCCTGAAATTAGATTTTTGAAAATGAAATACAGAAGACAGAAGCAAGCAATTTTGTTAGGGACATATAAAAATGGGTAGAATAAAATTTTAAAATAAAGAAATTACAGACACTACAATATTATCTTCCCCTCAAAGTCTGAGGTTAAAAAAGAAAAATGTTATAAGCAGTTGGAATCAGATTAAATGTACTACTTGACCTGAAACAAATCCAACTCACCTATACTTCTATATACACCTCAATTTAAATTACCTAAAATTTATTTGTGCATATTGATACATTAAACCAAAACAAACCAAACAAAATTCCAGTAATTTTCTTTTAATTTCACATCTTCACAGTTGCTATCCCTTTGGGGCAGGGAGTTTTTTATGTTTTTCTTTCTTCCCACTGAAAGGACACCAAAGTGGGAACCACAAAATGAAGAGCTGGGCTGTTACTGAAGATGAGCAAATGCTCAGGAAGGGAGAGGAGGGGAAAGGAGAAATGCACCTCGAGACACATGGCCACAGTGGCAATGACAAAGAAGAGGTCTTAAGAAATAAATTGGATGGGATTAGGAGGCAAGGCACACAACCTACCAAAACTCATCCTATTCTACCCTTGCCCCATCAAAATCTGCACTGACTGACATTGACTTCCTCCTTACACAAAACCCATTTGATCAATCTGCTGAGAAATAGTAAATATGTCAATGAACTGCTAAACCCGAACAGAGCAGAACTGGGAAAAGATGAAACTCAAACTGTTAAAAAAAAAAGGCAATAAAAACCCCCGATTGCAAATTCCATGGAAACTACTAGGGATGGATTTGAACTATAAAAAAAATTATTTTACTTCTACCTTATGTCTGAATTTCACTGCATTTGCTTTCTTGAATGTATCTTATTTTGCTAGTAAAATAGAACTTTATTTTGCTTCTGCAGGCAAAACAGACAGCACACTGTCAGGCCTAGCAGGTATTGTCAGAAATGAGTCCCTTCCCAGTTTTGTAATGTCACCAAGCTTCAGCTTCATAATTAGGAAGGTATTGTCAAGGAAGGAGAAAAAGCTTTTGGTTTTTGTAGTCAGAGGATAAGCATAGTCTTATTCCCTATGGGCAGTATGCTGCCACCAAATCCTGTGCACAAAGTCGAATTTCCTTACTTAGCAAGTTCCTATATCAACTGAGAGCTTGAAAAGTTGAATTCTGATGTCTTCTCAAATTCACAAATGCCTTGTTAGAAAAAAAAAAATTGCATCACAACATACAAATCTTTGGGAAAATGATATCAAGAATTATTGTTACATAATGTGGAAATAGCAGAAGCCTGCATCTCTGTCGTCTAACTATACAAGAGCCATTATTGAACAAAGAAAGGGCCTTTCATCTCTTACTGTATACACTTCATTAAAGATCAATAAAAATATGCACAAGGGCTCTTTTCTGGCAACACTAAACTATTTCTTGCAGTTCAGCACTCCGAACATTCTTTTACCAGGCTCTGCAGCATTTTGTAATTGAAGGCAGCCATTTAATAAAAAATTAAAAAGGTAATTTTCCCACCCAGTTGTCACATACGAATTAACATGGTAAACATATATCCTTATTATAAATCTTTAGTGTAGTCTTTGATATGTTTATCTCAGCATATTTTTTTTAATTCCTTTCCTGCGAAGGGCCCTTTTGCAGCCATTACAGAATTTTTCATGCCCTGTATATGCTCATCAAAGTTTGATGAGAACTGTTGTCAGGCTTGGACTTTAGACAGTCAATATTATTAGCAGTAACTTTAGATCTTAATAAATGCTAAACTATTATGAATTTAAGTGATTTAGGATAACTTACATGTTACTAGTATTAAGGACAGCTTTATAGGATGGACTGAATTCATCTAATGAGTCTGCTTCTTCAAGACATTTAGGTATGTGTGGCACCTCCCGAGTCACCATTATTTCAGATGGCCTGTCCACAGGTGTTCCTGCTCAAAAATACACATAAAGGTCCCCTATTTAAAGGGCCAGCTTGGTGACTTCAAATAATAAAAGCATCATCCTGATATTTTTAGGCTGCTATTTAAGCTTTTTAAAAATTGTACTCTTTGTCTATTGTAGTGCCTCGGAGTTCCAAGCATAGAGTTGGTTGCATTGTACAGCAGCAGGAGATGAGCTGTACTCCAGGCAGCCTGCAAGTCAGGGAAAACAGAAAAGACAGCAGACAGATGTAGGCAAATGAAAGAATGCAAGACAATGGTTAGAAAATATTCAGCGTAATACTAACACTTTTTATTTAAAGGGAATTGTTGAACACTGGACTTTGCTAAGACGACAGTGTTTGCCTACTTTTAATTTAGGGGAAACAGTGAGATTTCATACACCCCTGTTTTGGCTTTGGGAAAACAGCGTGTGCTCATTTAAGGGTATCTGGTCAAGGACCTTTTCCAGTGCAACAAAGGATAATAAGAAAAGGAGGAAGCCATAAAACAAGAACATATGGAGACACAAACCTGACCAGTAAATTATGAGGGAGGCAGTAATGAGAACCAAACCTGGTCTGTCACGCTAATCAATGGGGTATGTGGGAGTTTGAGAATGTTTATTCCAGGAAGGTTATCTGATCCAGGAACTTGTCAATTGGGAAACTAAGGGAGACAGGGAAAACCAGAAGGAAAATTCAGAGACACAGACCTGACAAAACAAACAGAGACCATGACAATAAACAAACATCACCACTCGCACTATTTGATGGGCTATCAAGAAACTACAGGCACTACTTTCAGGAAGATCAACCAGGACTTTGCAACTGTAAGACTATAAACCAGGGCCCGGCCAGGGGGGTTGGGGAAACAGACACACACACAACATGGACGGACAGGACCTCAGACTTGGAGGCGTGCAGGAATTGATAAAGCTGTACAAACCTGTGAGGGATGTGCAGGGGAATGGGAGCAAGGAGGAATGAAGATGGGAATAGACAGAAAGGAGTATAAAAGAGGCCGGTCGTGTCAAACAAGGCCGGTCAGTATGCTTGTCTGGCTGAGCCCTGTGCCTGATCACAGGCTGTCCTACCTTCTTATATCTTCTTATTAAATCTTAACTATCTCCCTGTGTAATCTCACTTTCTAACCTGTGTGCATGCATGCTGCAAGGACTAAGTGCCAGCTACTAGTGGGACCTGTGTAAGAGAAAACCAGTACCAGCTCCTGGAGTCAGACTGGATATGGACACCCTGCCGCCTGTGCTGTCAGCTGCTGGAGCAAGTGGAGGTCCCAGCATCAGTAGCTGGAAGGAGCCAGGCTCTCTGGATCTAGGGAGGGTCCTACAGACTTTGTGCCCAGAATGTCAGTTACTGGGGGAAACAGCGTGAGTGGATTTGGGTGCCAGCTGCTAGAGTCAGACCAGGGGTGTGGGCACCCGTGACCTGCGGTGTCAGCTACTGGACTAGCTGGCGAGTGGAGGGACCTCGGGTCCAGGCCAGAGTCTGAAGCAGGCAAGGGGGTCCGTGCTGGTACGCCCAAGGGACTTCTGAATTTGGAGTGCATGAGGGACAAGTGTGTGAATGTGTGTTTGCTAGTAAGCATCAAGCTGGACTAGCAGGCAAGCAGGGAATCCATGAAGCAGTTAAGGAGACCTGGGATCTGTGCAGTGGTGCTAGGCAGACAGAGGGGCCATGCTGGTGGTCGAGGGACCTGCAAATGCATGCGTGCTTGAGAACCTAGAGAGTGGTGCACACGTGCCTGCACTAGTGACCTTGTACCGCTACAAGCCAA